ATCTTTAGAGCAAGATATTTTGATCTATTGTTGTTGCTGGGGGGAGGGAGATTCCTAAGAATTTGATTTTTAGTTTGTTAAGTTTATTATACCTTTTCTGTGAGTTGACTCTTATTTTTAAAGAGTGAGTTCCTTGAATCTGTTTAATAACAGTTTAATTTTTACTTTTTATTGGATTTGCATCTTGCCTGCCAAGATGTCAAAGCAGCGTGCAGCATTTTCTGCCTTCCTATTATTATTCCATAGTTATTATTTCTATTAGTGTTGTGTAGTAGGAAAGAGAATGAGAGAGAATGATGGACCCAGAGTCACTCAGTAAGCTTTTCTACTTCATGGTGGAGTAGAACCAGTGGTGGGATTCAAATAATTTAACAACCGGTTCTCTGCCCTAATGACTATCTGGGTAGGCAGGGATCAGTGGTCATGTGACTGGGTGGGCTTGGCCAACTCAAGGTCACTCATGTCGATGGGCGCTTCGCCTTAGCTGTTACAATGTAAGAAGGGTTAACCAGAGAGGCAGTTTCTGTAAACAGTGCAATAAAGATGGGGCTAGAAACAACACCAGAATGTTTCCTTCCTGCCATCCTTACAGTAAAGCGGAAAAAAACAAAAGGAGATTTCTTCAACAACCGGTTCTCTGAACTGCTTAGAAAGTTACCAACCGGTTCTCCCGAATAGGTGCGAACTGGCTGAATCCCACCACTGAGTAGAACATGGAACCTTCAGCATCCCATATCTGAACAACTATAACCCCTTTGAAGTTCTCATTTGAGTTTGGTGGGATATACTTCCAAGTACATGATCTATGTGGTGCTGTGGATTTAGTTCTAAAGAATCGCTTAGAACGTGCAGGAACTTGAAACTTGTAGCTGGCTATAGTTCTTCAAAATGGCCTTTTCTTTTCCAAGCATTGTATAGCTGCCACACAGTTCAGGGGAGATATGAAGGTGCTTTAAAGAAAGAGATCCTACCTACAAAGTTCCTTTTTGGAATTGAATCCGAAATGCTTCCTCACCCTAGTAAATATACAGTCATTGCCTTGAACTGTAAACTTATGCGTATCTTCTCAGAAGTAAATCCCTCAGAGTATGAAATAGGATTTACTCCAGTAGTGGGATTCAAATAATTTAGCAACCAGTTCTCTATCCTAATAACCAGTTGGGTAGGCGTGGCTCAATGGTCATGTGACTGGATGGGCGTGGCCAACTCAACGTCACTCACATTGATGGGCGCTTCGCTTTAGCTGTTACAGTGTAATAAGGGTTAACCAGGGAGGCAGTTTCTGTAAGCGGGGCAATAAAGATTAGGCTAGAAACAACACCAGAATGTTTCCTTCCTGCCTTCCTGACAGGATTAGCCCTGTAAAGTGGAAAAAAACAAAATGAAATTTCTTCCAACAATCGGTTCTCCAAACTGCTTAGAAAGTTAACAACCGGTTCTCCAGAATAGGTGCGAACTGGCTGAATCCCACCACTGATTTAATCCTAGCCAAGTGTGACAATCATTTCCTCTTCCATAAATGCTTTCTTTTGCTTCTATTTTCTTTTGCTTCATTTCATTTAATG